GATAGTGACCAGTCATTCCCAGTCTTTCTGCTGTAGAGTCAGTTTGCATATTACCCTTTTATTATATAGATAGAGGCCTGGTGCATGGGTGGGGGCCAGCTGGTTTGCCCTGAAGGGTGTCCTGGATCAGGGTGGGGGTCCCGCTGGGGTTCCTGGCCAGCCTGGGTGAGGAGCTGATGGGTGTTTGCAGGCTGGTCACACCCCCTTCAGGGTGGGGGACCCTACTGTGGTGCCTGGCCAGTCTGGGTGAGGGGCTGAGGGCCATTTTCAGGCTGACCAAGCACCCTCGGCAACGGAAGCTCCCAGCCTCTCCTTTTTTTTTTCTGGGATTTATTTACCTTCTATAATTGAAACTTTGTAGCCTTGAGAGGAACTCAGAGCCGGCCAGGGTGGGCGGGAGGGAGGGAAACCTCCTGCTCGCTCCAACTCCGTGGCCACAGCGGGCTGAAAGAAGGTATGTGGGGTTTATTTACCTTCTATAATTGAAACTTTGTTGCTCTGAGTGGAGCTCAGAGCCCGATACGGCAAGTGGGAAGCTTGGCTTCCTCCATCATTGGGGCAACTAAGCCTCCTGCTTGCTCCAGCTCCGTGGCTGCTGGCTGCCATCTTGGTTGGGTTAATTTGCATGTAGTCGCTGATTGGTTGGTGGGCATGGCTTAAGGTGTAATGAAGGTACGGTCAATTTGCATGTTTGTCTTTTATTATTGTAGATTATCTCAAAAAATTATTTTCTATATTACTTCTGTAGTATTTAAAATATATTTAAAAATTTTTGTATTGATTGCAGAGAGGAAGGGTGAAGGAGAAAGAGATTGAAACATCAATGATGACAGAAAATTATTGATCGCCTGCCTCCTGCACACCCCCTACTGGGTGATTAAGCCCACAACCCGGGCAAGTACCCTGACCAGGAAGCGAAGCATGACGTCCTCACTCATAGATCAATGCTCAACCACTGAGCTACCTCAGCTGGGCAAAAGATATTAATTTCCTAGTTGTATCCTGAACAAGCATAGAAGCAATGGGACTCTAGGAGCAATGGGTGACCCCTAGCATCTAAATCTTGGTTTCTAATAGTTTCCTGGTATAAGGAACAGAGTGTCAGAGAAAAGATGGATTCTAGACCTAAGGTGGAAAAAGTAAAAAATGAGCCTGAGGCTTCTTCCTGGGCCAGAAAACAGGCAAGTGTTCAAAAGGTCACAGAAGCCAGCTTCAAAGGTCTCCCACTGTCCAAACTTGGGACAATGTGAACATAAAAAACGATATTGCCTTATAACACTCAATATATGAGTTTGCATATGTTCAACAGTGTGCATGGACACACTGGGGGTGGGGGGGTGGGGACGAGGTGGGGGAGATGGCAAAGAGAAATAGAAAGCCTCTCTATAAAGCAATACCAGTAACTAAAAGTAGAAAGAATGACAGAAGTAGAAAATCATTGTTTTACAACTTCTAAGGTAATCATTACTTTTAGGCAAGGATCATCAATGGATGCTGAAGTCATCTGATGAAAGGTTATTGGGGAATAGAATATTCACATGGAGTTAAAATAACCTACTAATTACTAGTTTCAAAAGGAAAAACTACTTTTACAGTAAAGAGGTCTAGTGGTCACCACCTTCACCAAGGATCAGACATACAATCAATAGTGGGACAAATTATGTACTTCCTGGTGTGAGGCAATGAGAAGGCTACGGTATCATGTAAGTAGTTTCACTTATACATCCTAAGATGTATCATGAGAAAGCAATTAGAAAGCCAGACTGTGGGACAATTGTACAAAACCCCTAGCTAGCTATAAAGACATTTTGCAGAAAACTGGGAAAATTTTCTGATACTATATATGATATTACAGCATTATAACTGTATAGATATACTAGTGGTATTGTGGGAGACAATATACATGTGGTTTTATAACTCGGCTCTCTGTTCTATTGATCTGTGTGTCTGTTTCTCGGCCAATACCATGCTGTATTAATTATCGTAACTCTGTAGCATAATTTGAAGCCAAGCAGTGTGATACCTCCAGCTTTGTTTTTCTTTCTTTGGCTATTCGGGGTCTTCTATGGTTCCACATAAATCTTATGACTTCTTGTTCCTTTCTTTAAAAAATGACCTTGGGATTGTATTAAATCTGTATATTGCTTTGGACAATATGGCCATTTTAATTATTGTTGATCTTCCAATCCAAGAACACAGGATATTTTTCCATTTTGTTGTGTCTTTTTCAATCTCTTTTAATAATGCTTTGTAATATTCAGTATATAGGTCTTTCACTTTCTTTGTTAAGTTTATTCCTAAGTATTTTATTCTTTTGGTTCCAATTGCAAAAGGAACTGTTTTTTTTCTTTTTTCTCC